GGTTTATTAATTTTATGAATCTAATCAAAATAATTCTATTAAAATGTATCTATAACTTAATAGATTTTAATAGAATTGGTGTTTAATAAATTAGGTACTTTTTTGGAGAATATACTAATGGAAAAAAGTCAGGATACTGGTAAATAAAATAAGGAAATATAATAATGTAAATTTTAAAATAAATTTGTAAGTGAAGGTGATTTATACGATGGTATAAGTTATAAAAATGGAAAATGGAATGAATTAAGCAACTTTAAATTTTATTCTAATATAAAATTAAATAAGGCATTTTTGTAAAATATTTTATTTAATAGTATATATTAGAGCTGGCAGTAATTACTAAAATGGATAAAAACATTGAAAATGGATTACTTAGATGAAAATTATAATTATCATAATCAAATATTATCAGGCTTGGTGCACCATGGATCGAATCAATCATGACCCAGGAAGCCATCACACTAGTCCCAAGTTATTATTTTGTCATAATTTAAAAACATTTAATTTAATTTAATGTTATATGAAATATATAAATTTAAATAACAAAAAAATTTTAAATCACTTAAGCATTCATTTTATCAACCGATGTTTAATTGAAAATTTTGAAAAAACAGTATTAAGAATGTATTGTTGTAAACTAAGTGCTTATATGTAGATTTTGTTTTGTATTTTTCTAATTTTCTAATTTATATTAGTGCATAAAAAAATAAAAAATTTCTAATTCATGCTTTTAATAAACTATACGCAATTTGATTGTTAACATGTAGTCTGTAAATATAATCTTATTATATACGACCTTTGGAAAGTTAGATAGAGAATATCTTTTTGATATAAATTCATTAAAATAAATGATGACTACATAATTAATTGCCATATTAAGATTTATGAGGTACAATTATCTTATTTATTCAGAATGAAAAGAAGATAAAACCAAAATACAAAATTAATTATGTTTATGAGGAATTTATACAGATTATGATCTAACTTGTTGAAAATGACATTAATCTAATTCCAATTTTTTATTTTATTAAATTTTTGGAAATGAAAATTTATTGACTTTAAGGATAAAAATTATTTTTACTTAAGTTCTTGTTATTTGCCATTTTTGAAGAAAACCCAATTTATAATTTTTAATAATTTTCTTTGAGTATTTTATAGAGCATCTTCCCAATAAAGGTCTAATGCCAGATCCCCTTTTTTAATATCTATCTGTAATCAAGTTATTCTTTTCAATATACAAGGCTTGATGGTTTAAGTACATAAAAGTACTCTAGTGTAATGAATTCAGTAAATTATAAGGACTAATTCTTTCTAGCAATAAGTTAAATATTTTTTTCTTTAGAGGTTTATGATTCTTCCTATTAGTCAATCAATTCTATAATGTTATATAGTTTCTTCTTTACACAAATATTCAAAGATCTCATTATTTGAGTATTCTATATCTATCCTTCTAAATTTTCTTAAATGTTATTTATTTTATCTGGCTCCCTATCAGGCTTTTAAGTTTCTTCCATAATAATCTCACTACTTATACCTCTTTATCAAAATATCAATAAATTCATTCAAGAACATTATATCTTCTTAGTATTCAGATTAACAAAATAATCACTCAATTATAACAGGAAAACTTAGATCTTTACATTTTTATAGACAATACTCTTTCTTCAGAAACTTTTCCCAATTATTTATCACTAAATTAAAGCTGAACTCTAATCACAGACTGATTATGTCGATTAAAACATAATATATTTCCATACATCCCTCTAGTTCTCTTTGAATTTATTGCTAAACGTTAAAGGGGCTCCAAATAATTTATAATCAGCTCTTATTCCGTCCATTTATGTCCTAACTTCTCCCTAAACTTTCTGATTAACCCTTTTAGGATCAATTATCAGGAATTATTTTTCATCTATTAGTTCCAAAAATTATAAATATCATTTATTGATTGTTTCAGGAGAAGGTAAAAAATTCATCATTCAAACATATTCAATAAGTTAAATCAAAAAAAAAATATTTAATTTTTATTTTACAAATTAATATTATTTTGCAGTATTTAGCAGCATATACCAAAAAATTTGACTATTTATAAGATCAAAACCATTCCCAAAATAGTCTTTTTAAAAACTTTTATCACATATCACTTCAATCTATCTAATAATGTGATAATTAATATATCGATTTTTAAAAGTGTAAGAGATTCATAATCATTTAAAAAAGGTCCCTTAAAACCAGCAAAAAAGTAATTAATTTTACTTTCAGATACAAGGAAAAATTATAATTGCTATATAGTTGAGTATAAAATTCTAATTGCCACAGCTAGAATTGATTTATAAGGTTTGAAAGACAATAATGAAAAGTCTTTTGGTCAATAATGAGCTATTTGTTAAGGATATAATTGAGTTATACTATATCTTATATTCAATTCAGATCCCTTTATTGATAATATTTGAAAACTTTGAGATATAATAATGAATTCAATTTAAAATTTGATACTATATGATTAGTATTATTTATTAAAAGACTGTAACATATAATGTGATATTGAATTTTATATTTAGTAGCATTTCAATTTTTGAGTTTTCTAAGTATCAATAATTGGAAAAATAATTATTTTAAAGGCAGCACGATAAATTGGAACAATAAATCAACTACAGAAGTAATAAGGGTTGTATGAAAATTTTGATAAGTATTGAAATAATTAATTAAAAATTGAAATTTATAGTTAAATTGCATAAAAAATGGAAATTCTTAGTTTTATTTTATGTTTTTGCTCATCATTTAATAGAAAATGAATAAAGTACAAGAAAAGATTTAAATATATAATTAAGTGATTCTTTTAATAGATATTAAATTAAGTTTATTAATCAAATATAAATAAAGAATTATATATTAAATTTTATTTTAATGAAATAATAGAAATTGTTTACGTGTTAAGATATAGCACATGAAAATGAAGTCATATAAGGGTTTTGTTTAAATTTTGGATGTTAAGATGCAAGATCTTAATTCTGTCTTTAATGTGGATTTGACCCTAAGAAACATACTAATTGCAAGAAAGATCTAAAAGGATTTGGTTAGATTGAAAGTTTTATCATTAAATTCAATTAGTATATACTTGAATTAACTACTTAATTGAATAAATCTTATTAATCAGTCAAAATAAAATATGAAGAATTCATAAAATAATTGGAGAAAATGAAAATATAATTATTAAAGATATCTGAATATTTAAGTTAATAAGAATATAAATAAATCAAAGACAATTTGTTAATAATTAAGGAATGCTATTAATTTTCAAATAATTAAGAGGAGATCATTAAGTAGAATTAAATTGGTATTTTTACATTATTAATTATTTATAGGAACTTAATTAATTAATATAAATAGAATGATTCAAGCTTTTGATTTAGATAAAGAATAATAATAAATTAAA